TACAAAACATGTCTCTGAAGTGTTTGGCTCCAACCACCAAACAGATCATTGTAGCGTTACCCATAATCCCCTCTGTTTCAGCCCTGTTTCCAAAGTGCTGATTCTCTGTCTGTTACTTTAGATGAAAATAAGGAGCCCCTCCCCAACTAACCTAATACAGTCATGTGAAATGTGTTGATATGATACATTTAATTAATTTTCTGTTTTTTAACACGCAAAAGGGGTTTAGATAAATAGATAAAAACAAGCATTAATAGCTGGTTATCATAACGTCATTCAATTATTATTGTTTTTTACTTACAGAAACATGGTGCGAAATAGTCTACCTTCTTTTTCCGTCACTAAGATGACCTGTCCTGTCTTTTCTAGTTACCTAAAGACTATTCAGAGAGGAGGTTTTACTAGCAATTGTGTATAAATTGTGATTAGGACTTTGCCAATAACTCTGTATTCTTCAGTAGATTTTGCAGTGGTCATTTTTCCCGAGCTCTATGTTGTATATCTGTGATTTGAACCGTCCTTTCTTTTGTAGTTACCCAACATTGAAAGACTTGGCAAAGAGGAGGCCAGATGTACCCATTTATGTTGGGGACACGTCAAGACCTGTCTTCTGGTTAGTACAGGCTTTGAGCTCGCTTTAATGGTGGGGTAGGTAAGTTTGAGAAACCGACTTCAGAAACACTTTTTAGTTATATTCCATGGAATGCTCTTAACATCCCGATAGCAATGAATATCTGAAGTGCTTTGACAAAAAATCCATAAAAAAATATCATCAGTGGAAGCCGTGACGCTGTAAAAAGCACGACCAATCATCTGAGCCGGCCCGGCTAAAGTAACTGGATGGCCTACCTGCCTGTCAGCCTTCCATCTGTGCACAAACTCACCTCGTGCCCTCATTGGTCATGTGCGTGTTCGTGTGTTTTGGAGGAGGGGCTCTGTGAGGAAGGGGCAGATTTTTTCCGGTTGTGTATTTTCAAACTCTAGCGCACTCGAGCTGGTTTCTCCATTCTTACCTACTCTACCGTTAACTCTTTTTTATTTTAGTAACATTTTGTGGTTCTATTACACATTTAATTTTCAGTCTTTTTTTGTCAGTGCATGTTTCAAAGAGGGAAAAGCACAGTTTGTTCTAATAACATGAATACAGTCCTGGTCATTGATAGTTAGTAGCAACACCTGATTACTGAAACACATGCTTTACTTAATGTCAAAAGGCCTACTGTGAAAAATGTCTACTTTTTTATTACAGGTGTCAGATCCAGTATTCATTCATTACAATTTTTAAAAAGTTCTATTCACAAACACCACCAAGTGTCTAAGTACTACAACTAGATTATATAGCTTTCTCCTCACTTTGATAAGAACTAATACAGGTTTTTGAAACCAGGAAAACTCCCCAAAAACCTCAAACTTACTGTGACACTGATGTGCACGCTCAATGATTAAGACGTAAGCTGTCTCTCTTGGTGCCAGGTGAGGTCTCTGAGCACCATTATAGTCCTAAAAAAAGTCCTAATCAGACAAAATAAGTGAGAACACCTGTGTGAGTGAGAGGCTTTCATTTCCCCGTTCCCTGACCCATTCGTTCGCCTCTCTCTCTCCCTCTCTCTCTCCCTCTCTCTCTCCCCATCAGATGGTGTTCTCTCAGGACCGCCACGAGGACGTGTTGGACTTGTGTCTCGTCCAATTTGAGCCCGACTCCTCAGAATTCATCAGGGTGAGAGGACCCTGTTAGACCATGAAATGTGCACAGTCAGCCCTGTGTTTTCTTTGGGGGACTTGATACAGAGTGTAAACTGGAACAAGAAGGTATTTGTAGTTTTAAATTGGATGTGGAAAGCCATTGTGTTGATATCTACAACACGCAGGGAAATAAGTAATTATATTGGAAGGAATGATCTTTGAGGGATTTGTCTGACACCAAATAAAATGTTAACTAAAAATCAAAAATGCAATTTGTTGGCATTTTGACATATATTGTGTATTAGGGCTGTACCCGAATATCCGAATATTCGTTCGTTGGAGTACTATTCGGGTTTCAATTCTGTTATTCGGATATTCGTTTTGTTTGTTTTTTTTCCCGTTTTTTTTTTCAAATTGAATTTATTGAAATCTCCAATATCAACGTAAGAGCTTGTGCCTCTTCGGGGGGTGCTAACACTTAACCATAAACGTTATTGTTTACTTTCTCCGTCTTTATATGTAGATATTACTTTTCTCCATTAATCTGTCACGTTGTTTCCATAGCAACAACAACTTCCTGTCAACAGCGCTAACTCTCCTTCAAAATAAAAGCATGTCCATAACAGTGATGCACATTTTTTCTGCTTCGAATAGTTTTCTCTTTTTTCACCATACCTGTGTTTGCATCACTGCCACAAATAGGAAGCCAAGCCAAATTACACTTAATACATATACAACTGCAACGAAAGTAACAAACACAATGCGATATCCTTTTGAATTTCAAACAACACAAATTGGGTTACATTAACAAATAACTATAAAACAATAACAAAACGAATGCCGTGAATACACCGAAAGGGGGTAAAAGTTCTCTGAACTAAGTTCTCTTTTTGGTGTGAACGCAAAATCCAAGGAACTAAGGGAACTACACAGGAAAAGTACTCCTGTGTGAACGCGCCTATTGGGCCTTATAAATAAGATGTCTGATTTGATATATTCCTCTTGTGTAGGTCCACTCTGCCACCTATGAGGACCTGGATAAGCACGGCAAATACGATCTGCTGCGCTCCACCCGGCACTTCGGGGGCCTGACCTGGTTCCTGCTGAACGCTCGCCGGGTGGACGCGCTCATCGTGGACATGCTGAAGAGAGAGCAGTGAGTTGGAATCAATGCACAGATTATTAATGTATTAATTACAGATATCAGAGTTTCTGCAAATAATGCTCCTGCTGGAATATGCTGGTACGAGGTAACTCAAAAAGGGTGGGCGATATCACCTCAAATGTTTTTCTGGTTTTATATCAAAGTATTACAAATTATTTCACAACATGATTCTACTAGATGGAAAATAAAAGAATGGGGATACATGTGTTTTTTTTTGAGAAGTTTGTCCAATCATGTGGGTTATTTGGTAAATACAATGTGGTTCAAAACAATCTTTTGCTACATTTATATTTATTCATGGTTTAAATCCTTTAATAAATTGTTTAGTCTGAAAAAAGGGGTCAAGGCCAACTTGGGAAGTTAGCATCCAAAGGGCTAACTTTCTCAAGGGAACCAGAAGTGGAAACATGCTGAATTATATTTGGGATTTAAGACTCATTCCTGCAAGACTGAAGGAGATGAAAGCGGTTAACCGTCGTCACGCCAGCTTCTGTACATGCTGGCAAAGTTCTGTAGCCTAAGTGTGTGTTTGTGTGTGTGTGTGTGTGTGTGTGTGTGTGTGTGTGTGTGTGTGTGTGTGTGTGTGTGTGTGTGTGTGTGTGTGTGTGTGTGTGTGTTTCCAGGCTCCAGGATGCAGTGAACCTTGTGTCTCTGTTCCACATGGTCCACCCTCACAGCGAGTCAGCGCAGGAAGCTTCCAGCCAGCAGGCCGCCGGCGCCGAGCTGCTGAAGGTGAGAACAACTGAGCCTGGTGTTTAGTCAAAGTCAACTTTATTATCAATCTTTCAGTTTGTGTGTACAGAGAAATCCGTTTCCCACTACCCTGAATACAAAAACAAATATATATAAAAATATGGGTACCACTTTACAATAAGACAAATAGTTTGTAATTCATGTATTAATTAGGTTGTGAACACTTTATAAATCATTGATAAGCTTTTATAAGGCATGAGATAAACAGGGTGACTGTGACCGGTTGCTTGCCAAATAGTGAGCCCACATTTATCTGTACTGCTAAGCCTTATTAGAAATGATAGTAACTCATTAATAAATGGGAATGTGTTTTACACTTTACAATAAGGCTCCCTTTTGGAAGTTATAAATGTTAGTAACTCATAAATAAATGGTCATAAAGAGATGCCAAGAAACATCAAGATGGAAGGGGTCTAAGGACAGAGGGTGTTGTATTGTCATACTGATATTCTGTACAAACTGTGAAGTCCACTGAGACAAATGTAACATTTGTGATATATATATAAATAAACATTGATTGATTGATTGATTGATTGAAGGGGGGGAATAAACTCACTGAACAACAGATACCAAGGATGCTGGCTGATGAANACAGGCTCACTATTTGGCAAGATGACTAAGCCTTATATTGTCTACCTAGCTTACTTTGTGTTCTTCATCAGCCAGCATCCTTGGTATCTGTTGCTCACTGAGTGGATTCTCACTAAGTAGCCAATATAAGGCTTAGTCATCTTGCCAAATAGTGAGCCTGTGTTGATCCAGTCACTATCTTTGAGAATGTACATTAAATTCAAATTCAAAACATTGAAAAGCTTATTAGTGTAAGACTGTCCATAGCAGCGTAAAAAAAAAAGTGTCTGGTGCTGGGTTTGAGTGTTTACTTTAATATGTGCAGGTTATGTGTTGCCATTTGATCCAGAAATGACCCGGGTCACATAAGTCGTGTCCCTCAGGATCATCTGAGTAAATCAGGAGTCAGTGTAGCTCCGAGAGGTCGAGTGAAGGCCGTCTCATCTTAAGTTTCCTCCGTGAGAGGGTTTGGGTTTGTCTCCGGCGTGGGAACTGCGGGGCCAACCCCCGGACACATCAGCTCTTATTAGAGCTCACGGCCCCTCTGCCTTGAAGCAGAGGGGAGGGGGGGGGGGGTGGACATTGGGAATGACAGCCATTTAATGTGAAGGGTTAGCAGCAGGAGACAAGTCCGCTACAGTCGCTGTCACGGCACCGCCTCTCCTTTAGTCACGCTTGACCGTTCATTTTAGTCTGCCACTAAATTCATTATCAATGTGATTTTAAATGGGGGGGGGTTTAACACTGAAGAATAGCTTTAAACTTTATTGCAGCGGTTCCCAACCTTTTTCAACTCAGAGCCCACTTAAGAATCTAAAAAATGTTCACGGCCCACATTCAACCATAAACGATAGGGTGGCCAAATAAAGTTCTGATTGGTCGATTCAGAACATGTGACACGTTGTTAATCCATTAGAACAGACCGCTGTCAAGGACTGTAATGACCGTTGCTAAGGAGGATCGAGAAAGGAAAGGAGGTTAAAATTAATCTTAATAATAAAAATGTCCACACAAATCACGTTTTGCTAATTATTTGGCGGCCCACTGGGGGGGGGGGCGAGCCGCTGCTTTATTGTATCATGCACAAAGTTAGTCGTTTATTCGGAGAGGACTCGTTGGCTATACCTCTTACTGTTACACTTAAGGCTCAAAGTATTTGGCCTGACCTTTCTCTCCTCTCTCGCTGACCTCTGACCCTTGTGCTTGCAGATTTATGCCCAGAAGGAGTCTCAGAGGTCGGGCTACATCGAGCTGGCCCTGCAGGCTCATGAACAGATGGCTGCCAAGAGCGCCAGCGCCTGACTGGACCACTAGATAGATAGAAATATACAAATTCATCCTCATGACGAATGGTACCATGAGCAGAGGGATACACTGAAAATGGCATCTCGTATGTCAAACACAGCTTTCAGTGTTGGGGTGGAAGTGGAGTATGTGATCCTTGACTTAAAGACTTAGCTTTGAAACTGATGAAGATGCAGTTAGTCATTTATACATGGAAAGAAATGTTTCTGTGAAGTCAAAATGATGTAAATAAAAACTAAAGATCTTTGTACTAAGTGGTTCCATTATTCTCAGGTTCATATCAGTGTCTCTACGCTTTAAAGTTTAAAAAGCTCTTTATTTATTGTTCTCATACTGCCTGTGCTGCAGCACCTCTTTTCACCCTCTGTCTGAAACCAGAGCCCAGTCTGCTCTGATTGGTCAACCGCTTAGAGATGTGTTGTAGCACTAGCCAATAGAAGCTTGAGTGTTACCAGACCAACACTACAGGAAAGGGGAAACCCCAGAAAGCATAATATTTCCCCTTAGATGCATAAGTGGGTCTTTTTGGACCCGGTGGTTTTCTTGAAGTATCTTTGTAATTACATTTTTTTTATCATTTCATATTCCAGCTATTCCTCAAACATGTTTTGGATATCAAGCCATTCAAATGATACATTTACATTTTAAGAAATTGTAGTTTTTGTATTTCTACCCCAAGCTTCCATAAGTGGGTCAAAAATGACCTGCATGCATTTCCTATGGGATCCTTTGATTCTTATCACCTGTTGCTGTCAGGAATACATTCACTGTGGACCACACGTGACGTGTGATGTAGTCTGTCTACCTCTCAGGAATATTATTTTTAGGCTTTTCAAGGACTCAAAATCGCTTAACAAATAAGGGAAGGTTAGGGTGGGGGG